GCCTGTCTGGACCGTTCTCCGGGCCTTCAGCCTGACTAGTACGCCCCGCTGGCCTTCAGTCTATCCGGACCGCCTTAAGTCTGTTGAGCATAACCCTGGATCCATCCTGGTGCCCTCTCCCATATAGCCGGTTCTCCCCCACTTGGGGTTTCGAATTCCCGATCCAATCCGTAACTATAATCCCGACCTAACTCTAGATCTCGTGTTGATCGCTTACCCTCTCGGGAAAACTGCGGTCTGATCCCTGACCCACGTATCCGCCACAGACGCTAAATAACCCGCACACCCGTGCTGAAAGTACTGCCGAGCCCTGACAGCTAAACAAAATCCTCAATGGCTGATGCTCCATCTGAGAATTCCCAATTCTCCCCCACTTGGGACACTAACCACTACCTACTAGAGGCGAAACCAAAACGCCACTTAACCATCCCTACTAGGTCTTACCATACTTAACCATGGAATGATTACGCTGGAATGAATAACCTACGCAGAACAATCCTCCCGACATAGAGCAGCCGAACTTCAAGAGAAACCTGAATCCCAAGTGAATGCTTATGAATCTACAAACCACAACTACTGACCCTGGAAGGGTGATTCTCTATCCTAACTTCTCATCCTCAATGCATCCCTGGATCCTAACTATCTAAAACCCTTCGATATTAAATCCCCCTGATCCTCCTATGTCCTAACATCTTATGCCGAAGGTAATGGAATGTTCACAATATAATTATAAACCGTAAGATAAAAGGTAGAAACATACCAGCAACCGCATCTGGTGTTGCCCTGGCATCCTCTACTGTAAGCTGGAAAGCACGTCCCTGAGCCCTCGGAGGCTCTGCTCTACCCTGACCCCCGTCAGTAATCCTCAGTGTAGCCGGCGTTAGAGCCTGCATCGGCCTGGCAGCGAGCTGTGGACAGTTGGTCTTCATGTGACCAACTTGATGGCAGTGGTAGCAAATCCTCGTATCCTGAACCAGGGCTGGCTGGCGTCAATCCCTCGCAAAGTGCCCCTCCTTGCTGCATATGAGGCACGCACTGCCAGATCTGCAAACAACCGAATGACCCTTCCCGTACTTGCCACAAGTGCGGCCCTGCTGTCTTCCTGTCCTGGAATCAGCGGTCTTAGACCGCTTTGGCGTCGGCTGTGACTGCGCCTGGGCCTGCCGCTGCTCTCTCAGCTGTAACTCAATCCCATGCTCCCGGCACCTAGCGGCCTCCTGCAACTCCAGCAAGGTATCACATCGCTGGGTAGCAACAAACTGACGGATACCAGTCTTGAGCATGCTCAAATAACGTGTCATCTGAGCCTGGTCAGAATCAAACTCCGGGCAGAACATCGCCCTCTCAGTGAACATACAGGTGATCTCCGTCACCGTCTCAGCATCCTGTCTCAACTCCAAGAACTCCTAAGCTAACCGCTCCCGCTCGACCCGTGGGATGTAGCGAGCACGGAACATATCCCTGAACTGCTCCCAAGTAATCGTAGCTCTCTGATCATTAGTATTAGACCTAGTCATCAACCTCCACCAGTCCTTTTCCCTGGACCTCAGCAGGTCCAAGGCACATCTGACCTTCTGGTCAGTAGTACATGAACACGTGAAGAAACAACCCTCCATGCCAGACAGCCACCTCATAGATCTAATCGGATCCCGAGTCCCATCAAAAGTCGGGGGCTTCGTGTTATCGAAGTCCCGGTACTGAAAAGTCCGACCAGCTCCTCCCCCTGTCGCCGTTATAGCTGATGCAGCTGTTGCGGCAGCCGTCTCAGCAAGGGCTGTATAGCGGTCATCGAAATACTCCATCATGGCGGTCTTAATAGACCCAAATATCTCCGGCAGCTGTGCCAGAAACAGAGTAGCAACCTCATCATGCAGGATCTCTCGAATTCTGGCGTCCAGATCATCCGCCCCCATCTGACCAACAACCTCGGGCACTGCCGGTCCATCCTGACCACCATCTCCTGATCCTAATCCTGATTCGGATCTAGTCACAAAGCGTCTCATAACCACCATACTAAAAATATACCAGGAAAGTATCAGATAATCCGTATGAATAATAGGGAACCAATTCCCAACTAAACCCCAGGGGTTGTGACTTCCTTGATACGCGTATGGGTCCTGTGCTTTCAGTAGTACGGGCCCATACTACCTTCCACACCTACCCATATTTGTCTCAAGTATCATCACAACGCCCTGACAATATACATAAACATAGCAAGCGCTCAATCCTCACTCCTAGAGGAATGCTAAATATCTCATACTGGCCTACCGACCTCGCACAACCCTCCCATGAAACTTCCACCAACCTTGCAGCACTCGTGTATCCTAACCATACGTAACGTTGGACCCTATAGACTTTCGAATACCTGATCCTACCCTAAGCCCTTAATCAGACAAGAACAGAAAAAAGGCCAAATCAAACATTCTCAAGCTATAAGATCTTAATTATGTACATCCATGATGCATACACTAAGCAACTATAGTAATTATGTCAATTTCATATAAGGAAAACCCTAGGCTATCAGGCATCATATAATCAGACAGTTCTATCATGCAATTCCTGAAGATCCCTAGCCTAGTACTAGCATGTTGTTCTAACATATCACAATCAAATAATCCGTAAGGTATTTTGGGGTCTACTTACTGGCTCCGGCTGATCGTACACTTGCATTCTCCTTTAGTATTTGAAAACCATTTGAAAAAAATCATTTTAAAAATCTCGTCCTTAGTTTGAGACTCGAGACACACGAGTGTTTCCTCTAATTCACTCAAACCAAGGCTTTGATACCAACTTGTAACATCCATAAAAATCATGCCAAATTTAAAACTTTTTAAAACATTTCAAAACCAATGATTATTACAAAACTTGTTTTCAAAATAGTATAATATCAGAGTATCCCAAAATCAAATCATGAAAACATAAGGAGGTGTATGATCACGCCTTCGCCTTCCCGCGATAATCAGAAGTACCTGAAACAAAATCAACAACTGTAAGCCCGAAGCTTAGTGAGTTCCCCCAAAATACCAATACAATCATAATCATATCATATAAACAAACACAACATGCATAATGAGCCATCAGTCTGACTGGACCGCCTCACAGGCCATCAGTCTATCTGGACTGCTCTCCGAGCCTTCGACACGTCTGGACCGCCTCTCAGGGCCTTCATCCTATCCGGACCGCTCGCCGGGCCTTTGGCCTGACTAGTATGCCCTAACCGGGTCTCTAGTCTATCCGGTCCGCCCTGGGTATCTTGGCCTACAGCACAAAGCAGGACTTGCCTCAACCCAATCCCCCAAACCAACAAACATGTGCACATACATATCATATGCTAGCTAGCAAGTACAGACAGTCATACAGATCTAACAGATCACTAATCATGGCAACCATCCTATAACCAGGATACCGATCTAACCGATCACTAACATAGCAACCATCCTATAACCAGGATACCGATCTAACCGATCACTAACATAGCAACCATCCTATAACCAGGATACTGATCTAACGAATCACTAACATATCAACTGTCCTATAACTAGGATACAATCATAAAGGGCCGACCTTGGTGCCTTAGACCCTGTTGATATAGTGAGAAGAACTCACATCACAAGTAACTCGAAGAGATAAAGTCAAACCCCACCAAATGTAGCTCCAAGTCCAACACCTACATCCACCAATGATCCACTTCCATAAATTCCCAAATTACCAAAATACCTCCAGAAGTCAAACTGGTCAACCATTAGTCAAAGTCAAAGTCAACAGTCCATGTTGACCCGACTCGTCGAGTGCAGCTAGCAACTCGTCGAGTTCCTTAAGAACTCAGAAATCACTAAAACCCTAATTGACTCCCCGAGTTTCCAACTAACTCGTCGAGTCCATACGTGTCCAGATGTCGGGGAAAACCCTAACTGACTCGTCGAGTCCTCTTACTGACTCGCCGAGTTCATGCAGAATCAAATACATGCAATCTTCATCCGACTCGCCGAGTCGGCTATGCGACTCATCGAGTTCATGCAGTCCATTTCTGATCCAAACGTTTTTAAGTCACCCCAAAGCTCCATATTGCAGATCTAACCTCCTAGGGCATGATTTCCACGTAAAGTTACGTACATGCATGGTCCTAAATGCCAAAACCAAGCTAAGGGAAAGGTTTAACTCAAAGAGAAAGACCCAAGCTTGCTAAATCTGATAACTTTATGGCTATAGGGACTTAGAGAAGTCCTGATCTGAAATTACAACTTCAGATCATGACCAATACCCAAAATGGTTCACATATATGCTAAAATGGCCCTAAACTTAAGCATGGAGATATCTAGCTACAGGGAAGTCAAGGTAACGACTTTTTACCTTCAAAATGATGCCAAGATGAAGTAGAGTCAGATCCAAAAGCTTCTTTTTGCTCCAAGCTCCTTAGACTTCAAACCTTCTTCACAAAATGCACCAAAATCACTCTTTAAATCTCACAAACACTCAAGAGCAAGGTCTAGACTGATTAGGGTTTCTTCTGACCGTCAAGAGGTGGTAAGGGGCTGGAGGAAAGGACTTAAGGTCCTTTAAATAGGGTTCAAACCCTAAAAATTAGGGTTTCATCTTGCAGCTCTTCCTCGTCGGGTCGGGGTCCTCCAACTCGTCGAGTAGACCGCATAAATCACGCGAGCTGACTAAAACTCTACACGACGAGTTGGGGCCTCCAACTCGTCGAGTAGACTTCCTTGATTGCATGAAATCCCTAAATCTCATTCTCGGAAATCGGGATGTTACAATAATTTTACTCAAAATTATCTTATATAAGGTTATTTGAATAACCTGTGCTTATGCTTTTAGTATAAATACTTATAAAATAAATCAAACATTTAATAAAATAAAATCTAGACCAACCTCCATTTAAATTACCTTTTTAACAATTGCAATGAAGAAATATACAATTTAATCTCAATATTATTTTGAAAACCATGATAAATTTAGAAATTAGTTTTTTTTTAACCCAAGTTTAGTAGTTTACTATGACTTGGATAGTTGGAAATAACGCGGAGTGATGGCGCAACTTATTATATGAACACTTGTCTGCCATATCCGTAAAACCCTGGCAATTTTGCGTTGATATCATCAGAGAGAGATGACGGAGATCTCGCGTCGGAGTTCGCTCCGCTTCTTATTATTCTTTTCCTCGATTTCCCTACAATTCTTCGCTGGTTCGTTCCTCAGATCTCTACACTACAACTATTTTATCTATAATTTAATCTGTTTACTCAATTGCTTGTTTTCTCTAAAGATCTACGCCTGTATACGTCAATTTTAATAACAAAATCGCGAGTCAGTAGAAATTTTCTGTTCATCTCGCTTTAACAGTAAATAGGGAGGTTTTGATATGTGTTTTAATTAGTCGATTCCGTTTATGCATATGTTTCTCTTCCTAGATTCTGATATAATGATATAATATGTGTTCTAGGGTTTATTTCGATTGCGTTTATGCATACGTTAAGGAAATTTAACCTATTGCATATGATGAATATAAGTTACCAATTTAAATCGGCTCCTGTAGTGTTACACCATTGAGTTACTACAGTTATCTGTTGTCATAATTCATTTGTGTTGTATTATAAATCATTTCAGGGTTTTCAGAGGATTCAAATTCCAAAGATGTGACAAAAGTTGATGCTCATTCTTCTTCAAGTAGCAAAAAAGGATCTACAATTCTGATAACATGCATCACGATTGGGGCATTTGCTGGTTTGTCATTTTTCCTTTACAGGTTATGGCAAAAGAAGAAACGTGATGAACAATATGCCCGTCTACTAAAGCTGTTTGAACAAGATGATGAGCTTGAGCTTGAACTTGGTCTTCGTGATTAAGTTACTTCAATCAAAGTAAGCTCCCATACCCTTTACTATTTTGATTCATATATATGCAGGTTTTTGTAGCTTAATTCACCCAAAAATGACACTTTTTTTTTATCAGAACACAGGTGTAAATGGTAGTTGTGCATCAGGAAGGCGGCTCCCAGCATTTGTTTCTGGAATTAGCAATTGTATAAATTTTATAGCGTGTGATGATGAGGACTCAAACTTGTCATTGAAATTTGTATAATTTTTATTAACATGATGACAAAAGATGTACTCATCTTTCTTCATTGCTTTTTCTGTTTAATAGTATATTTTGTTTTCTTTATGAAAATGTATGTTTTATAGGAACCACCATACTTTTTATATGTTGCGGAAGTTGGTTTATTAATAGTTATTGTCATAATATCATTTTGTAGTCGTATTATTTATGGACTTTTAAGAAAATGAAGACTTTGCGAGGAAGGGACATGGTTTTCACATATACTAAAAGGTTATCCAATTGAACCCGTTACCTATTTTGTCTGGTCTGCCTACTTTGTCATCTTTTGTCATCTATCCACAAAAATATAACCACTTTTGAGTTACTGGGTTTGATTCAGTTGGATTGAAACTATTTGATATTGTCGAATGTTTAAATATATCCAAAATTTTGTTTTCTAGCATAACAGTTAAAGGCATGTCACAAATTTTCTTGAAAAGTTATTTTTTCAAGAATCTCGCATTCGCATTAAAACTATATGCACAACGGTTGTTGAGACTCAAACACTTATCTTCGATCTACTATCGTACATGTACATAAACCCATAATGTCGCAATTTTTTAATTTTACATATTAATTCTCAACGCATATGTGAATTCTAGAGGCAATAAAGCCTATTCCCCGGTTAATTTATTGACGATAAAAAGAAACAAAATTTCTCCAACGTATTAAATGTCACAAAAAAATAGTTACAAAAGACAAATCGAATGGGCCAGACAGGCACGTGGTGGGAAGTTGAAAGTTATCTAACATATACTTAAATGATGACAATCTCTAAATCAATTTTCACAGATTAGGTATCAACCAGGACCCGACCATTTATCACCTTTACTATCTTCACAACGCAGATTATATTGTTCTGAACAATAATTACACGTGTCATTTAACACAATGAATTCAATTCTTGTCGGACATTAAAAAACTTCATGAACTCGTGATAAAAAAAAATATAAACATCTTACATATAAAATAGATATTTATGAATCAACTAAAAAGATGAACCAGAACAAGGCTCCATTCTCAAAAATTCAATATGCCAACACTTATTATACTTCCTTCTACGTATAGATATAGCAAGGAAAATTTCAATTCTTTCTCTATCTCTTTTCAACTCTAAAACACCATAATCATCGTAGATCCAAAAATAGAAAATCCCTTATACACAACTTTTAACAATCAAAAATCAATCACATGACTCACTTCACTTGCTGTCAGTGAAATCTGCATCAATAACATCTCCTTCAGAAGCAGAAGTAGGACCCTTACCCGATGCTTCTGAACCCTCAGAACCTGGGGCGTCACCAGGCCCTGGTGCACCTGCACCAGGCTGGTTGTAAAGTGACTGCCCGAGCTGCATAACTTCTTGGTTTAGGGCAGCCATGGCATCTTTTATGGTCTGTGTTGACCCACCCGAAATGGCCTCCTTCAGCAGCCCAAGCTTCTCCTCCACCTTCTCTTTCACTGGAGCAGGAACCTTCTCTCCCAATTCTTTCAGCTGTTTCTCTGTCTGGTAAACCACTGAATCAGCTTGGTTCTTTGTATCTATGGCTTCTCTTTTTTCCTTGTCTTCTTTCGCAAACTTCTCAGCTTCATTCACCATTCTTTTTACCTGTTTCATCATAATATTATATTTACAAGTGAAAAAGAAACAGAGCCTACATTACAATTTACAAATATTACATACCTCATCATCAGGGAGTGTGCTAGCACCAGTAATGGTGATATCTTGCTTCTTTCCTGTGCCTTTTTCGATTGCAGTGACAGACAAAATACCATTTGCATCAATGTCAAACTTGACTTCAATTTGTGGGACCCCACGTGGAGCAGGAGGAATTCCATCCAACCGGAAGCTTCCAAGAGACTTGTTGTCTCTAACGAATTCTCTCTCGCCTTGAAGAACATTGATTTCAACACTTGTTTGGCCATCAGCAGCTGTTGAGAACACCTCTGATTTTGAACTCGGGAGAGTTGTGTTTCTTGGTATGATCTTTGTCATCACACCACCAAGGGTCTCTAATCCAATCGATAGTGGTGTCACATCAAGTAGCACAATATCACTCACATCTCCCGCCAAAACACCAGCCTAAAAAGTAAAAACAAAAGAATTGGTTGGATGGAATGGAATAGAATGATAGAAGAAATGGAATGGAATGAAGTTTTATACCTGAACTGCAGCTCCCAAGGCAACAACTTCATCAGGATTGACAGTAACATTTGGTTCTTTTCCAGTTAAGCTCTTAACGACTTCTTGGACAGATGGAATTCGTGTTGAGCCACCAACAAGTATGACTTCATCAAGATCCTTGAAAGATAGCTTTGCATCTCTCAATGAATTTTCAACTGGAGTTTTAAGCCTGAAAGAAAGATCCATACTTTATCAGTTTTAAGTTTTAAAAACAGTTGAAAAATAAAAAAGAGGGCATGTACAACTAGTTCACTAACCTATCCAGTAGATCTGAGCATAGTTCTTCAAACTTTGCTCTTGTAAGAGTGGTATCAATGTGTTTAGGGCCATCAGCTGTGGCTGTAATGAAAGGCAAGCTAGGAAGAAAATAAACCACAAATCAGTAAAACTCATTTGCTAGAAAGTAAGAACAACAATAAAAACTTTTTTAAATGATTCATGTACCTGATATTTGCCTGTGTCAAAGTTGAAAGTTCCATCTTAGCCTTTTCAGCTGTCTCAGTCAAACGCTGCAGGGCTTGCTTGTCCTTTAGTAGATCTATGCCTTCATCTTTCTTGAAGCTTGCAGCAAGCCAATCAACTATTCTCTACATGAAAGCGTAAAAAGAAACCTATAATAATGAAATTATAAAAGGTAGTAAATGGACAATGGTATTGGTTCGAGAACAATACTAACCTTATCAAAATCATCACCACCAAGATGTGTGTCTCCAGAAGTAGAAAGCACCTCAAAAACTCCATCACCAACCTCAAGAACTACAATCCACAAAATGGGAAACAAACATCAGAAAACATATTTAGAATAAAACATCATATTGGATTGAAAGCTCAGTTATCCCAAATCGTGCCCCCTCACCTGAAACATCGAAAGTACCACCTCCAAGGTCAAACACTAATATGGTTTCATTGTTTTTCCTTTCAAAACCATAAGCTAGTGATGCAGCTGTAGGCTCATTGATAATACGAAGAACTTCAAGGCCAGCAATGCGACCTGCATCTTTTGTTGCTGTTCTTTGGGAATCATTGAAATAAGCAGGAACTGTTACAACAGCTTTTGTGACCTTATCATTCAGAAATTTTGAAGCATCGTCCACAAGCTTTCTCAATACCTGATAATAGAGAAGCAACAAGAGAAGCCAAATTAGGGCAAAAACATCTTACTGTTACAAATTAAGAGGTAGAGGGAGCACTGGTGTACCTGTGCTGAAATTTCTTCTGCAGCAAACTGTTTTCCAATAGCAGGACAATCAAGCTTAACGTTTCCGTTCTCGTCACGCACCACCGTATACGAAATCTGCTTAGACTCCTCGTCCACCTCCGACATCTTCCTCCCGATAAATCTCTTCACTGAGAAGAAGGTGTTTTCAGGATTCACAACGGCCTGCCTCTTAGCAATCTGTCCAACCAACCTATCTCCGTTCTTCGTGTACGCCACAACCGATGGCGTCGTCCTCTGCCCCTCGGCGTTGGTAACGATGACAGGCTTCCCACCTTCCATAGCACCAACAGCAGAGTTGGTAGTTCCGAGATCGATTCCCACAACTTTCTCAGCGACGACTCTAAGAGGACCATTGCTACGATTTCTTCTACTCCTGTTAAGTTTTGCAAATAATATTTGTTGTGAAAAGGAAACAGAATTCCTTAAACCTTGGCCGAATAAGACTGTTTTGGGGAACTTGATAGTTGAAGCAAAAGGTTTGCCTCCAAGAGGGTGAATCTGAGCTGTTGTTGATGCCATCTGTTCCTGCTCAGGTTGAGAAGTGAAATCCTGAGCCGCTTAAACCCTAAAAAATTTGGGCACGACGAAGGAGTAAATGGCAAATGAAATTGAGAAGAAGATAAAGTAGGGAGAGAAGGTTGGGTCTTGGGTGGGTCGGGGGTCCGTTAACAAAGCTTAAACCAAGACGATAAGAAATGTAAAACATAGGGTAGATATTAAATTTAAAGGGAAACCGAATAATCTACCTATTTTTTGGGTTTATTTTAAAAACTAGGTTTAAAGGGAAACCGAATAATCTACCTATTTTTTGGGTTTATTTTAAAAACTAGGTGGAAGACCATCTATTACATAAGTTCATTTAAAAAAACGGAATAGATAAACAGCCACCCTCTTCTCTTTTTTTATCCCCTATGATTTGACATTTGATATAACCATTTATATATATATATATATATATATATATATATATATATATATATATATATATAGATAGAGAATATACATTACAGTCCCACCTAAGCTTAGGTACTAAACCTCAAAAATATTTCGTTTTAACTTAGTAATTATACTCGATTTGGTTTTCATTTGGTAAAATATATCGTCCCTAATAACATTTATTCTCTCAATTATCGTTTTACCATCTTTGTTTTCATTCATCCATTATCGTTTATTACTTCACATTAGTGAACAATATTGTTTTCCACCGTCATGAAGGTCGAAAATAATCAATGTTCTTGATTCCTTATCAAAACTATTGTGTACATCATGAATCTACATCTTCAAATGTTAATCGTGAATCCCCTAATCGCAATCTTTATATAGTAAAACGATGTATTTTCATGAGGTTTAGTACCTAAGATTAGGCGGGGTTGTAATGTATATTCACTTTTCCCTATCTATCTGTCTATCTCTATCTCTCTCTCTCTCTCTCTCTCTCTATATATATATATATATATATATATATATATATATATAACATTTTTAAATATATAATTATATAAGTATATTTTTTAATAAATATTATTATAAATAAAAAAACAATTATAAATAATTAATCAACATTGTAATTAAATTGTCAAACAATAAAATTAAAACAATAATAATTATTATACATATTTAACCATTAAAACTAGAACAAGTTGTTGACAGCTTCATTTCCTTCGTTTGATGAAAATTGTTACAGAAGTTCTATAGGAGTAGTAATTGAGAATTATAAAGAGATGAGTAATGGTAAGTATAGTTGTGTAGTACTTGACATTTATATAGAGATGAATTATTTTTTTTTAATTTGTTAAAGCTATAGATGAAGTGATATGTTATTCTTTCAAATTACAAGTTGTAAAAAAATGATGAATTATTTTTTGAATTTTGTCAAAGTCCAAAAACGAAGTGATGTTTTATTCTTTAAAATTGCAAGTTATAAAAAAAATGATGAATTATTTTTTGAAATTTGTAAAAATTATAAACGAAGTGATGTTTTATTCCTTCAATTTGCAAGTATATATGAAGTAATATGTTATTTTTTTTAATTGCAAGTTATAAAAAAAATAATGAATTATTTTTTGAAATGTGTAAAAGTTATATGGAAAAAATATGTATGTTTGTAGTTTTAAAATTTTCAAGTTGTAAAAAGTAATAAATTATTATACAAAAATAAATGTATAAAAACCAATTTATAAAAACGTTCAGCTAAATACAATAAATTAATAAGGCTATATAAAATTTGAGTTATTATTTTGTATCAAAAATTAAAATACTTAAATGTGTTATAAAAGAATAATGAAAATATTGTTAATTAATAATTATAAATAAATTGAAAAACTCCAAAAGTAAAGGGATCATAAGTGTAAAATAGAGAGTTTGTATGTAAAAGGAAAAAAGGAAAAAAAAAATAGGATTGAGGAAATGGAAAAAAAAAGCGCGTGATATAGGTTTATAGGGGGAAGGTTTATAGGGGGGCGGAATAACAGGACCCTTAAAAAAATTATATATAAAATTGAGAAGTTGAATTTATAAGAAAAACAAAAAAATATTGAATTATTAAAATTAAAGTGTTCTTTATCTTTTAAATTTAAACAAATAATTTAGATAAATAAACAAAGAAAACTAATAGACTTTAATTTAGAAATTTTGAAATTAGAAGGAAAGTCAATTAATGAAATTGAAATGTCTTTATTATTATATTTATTGCAATTAATACGTTTAATAAAAATGAAACAACCACAAAATGTCATGTGGAAAAAATTTAATTGAAAATAACCACAAAATGACATGTGGCCAAATCAATGAGAGTGTGACAAGTGGCAAAAAATTCTTTATTTATTAGGGAGTATATAACTATTTTTTTTAAACTAACCATTTGGTTTGGAATGGGTCATTCTGGACCCAAAAACTAGCTCAAGCTTAATACTGTAGCCCAATGGTATGTATATATATATATATATATATATATATATATATATATATATATATATATATATATGACTCTCACACACAAAAAATCTGGAATACGCGTTCCGGAATTTGCAGATCCGAAGCAGCACTATCTATCTGCATTTCATACTCAATTTTCAGCATGTATTCTTTAAACCAAGTAAGTTCTACACTTTAAGTTACTTTGCATTTGATTTTCTAAAACGATTTACGTATTCCAGAATTCTCCGGAATGGTTCAGAATACGAGAAACAACTCCGGAATATCCAGATTATCTTTTTTTTTTTTTTTTATCTTTTTTCTCGTTGTACGTGTATAAATCTCATGTAAGTACTTTGTAATGTATTTCAGATCGGTTGTTATAATCCGAAATTAGGTATTGTAGGGATTTCAGAATGGTAATGTAATCCGGAACACGATGAACGTGATCCAGAACCCGATGATCTATTCCGGAATGATGATCCAGAATAACTATACTTATATTATTTTTTCTAAGTATTGTTTAATAGCTCATGTTAGTCCAAAAATGAGTTAGCGTGGATGTTGTTAAAAAAATGGGTTTTACGGACGACGAAGTTGTATTCCATTTACATGAGCTTTCAGAATTGCGCCCAATAAAGGTAAAATCGAAAACAATAATTTTATAATTATAATTTATTTTTACGGTAATGTATTAAAATGTTCTTGGAATTTTTTTTTTGCAAATAAAAAACGAAGATGTTGAGTTTCAAAATAAGATAAAAAATAAATCAGTAAAGGTACCCATAAAATTAAGAAAAAAATCAGAAACGATGTTACAACTTAAATTAAAAGCATATAGTACTCCGAAAGATAACACAAAAACAAGTGCAGACAAACATGTTGTGATAGACTAGTTGCAATTATTATTATTATTATTATTATTATTATTATTTTGTTATGGATATGTTTCTCCAAGTGTTTTTAATTTAAATATTTTTATGCAAATTGGTTTTTAAATAGTATATTAATATAATTTAGATATATTCTATTTTCAGTCTTATCCATCCAGTGACTCGAACGATGAGGATGAGTTGCCTATAGAGTATGTTATACCACGTCTTGAAGACGAACAACGACGTCTTGTTGATATGATTGCATTAGAAATGATTCGTGATTATCAACGTGCTAAACAACGAATGGTAATACTGGAAATCTCATTACCGCCTTCACTGGCTGAGAATCGGAGAAAAGTAGCATTGTATAACATGCAATGCTCCTCATTACTATGTCTGAAGATATATGACAATTTGTGAACACAATGGACATCATCGAAGAAACACATAGGACAACTCCAACAAAAGAAGATCGAGTTGAATTGACTGATAATGGTTTCAAACTAATTGAGACCTACATGGAATTGTTTCAAAATCATGCAGACACGACTAGTTTGCATCGGATGCAAGTTCCCAGTTATCGGCCAAAAATGTAATCAAATTTTAAATATGGATATTGTAATGTCTTTTGAAACTGAATTTTGTAAAAGGAACGTTATGATTATCTAAAATGACATTTATCCTTTTTTCATTAACATTATTGCAAAGAGCATTTTAAATCTTAATACATACTTAGATTGGTTTCCACAAATTAGGAATTGTAAGGGATACATATTTTGTTCCCGATCAATAAAATCTTCTCTAATTCTAATAACATCTGTTAGACGGTCCCGTTCTGCACAAAGCTTATTGATCTCCGCATTTGCATTTTCAATCCACTTCTTAGCTTGTTTCACTTCTTTCATAACTCCAACAACCAATTTTTCTTTTTCATTTACTTGTTCTGCTAGATCGTCTGCATGTTGATTTAGTGTGCGATTTCTTTCAGAGTCCATTTCATTTGCTTCTTCAACAACCTTCATAGCTTGGAAAACGTTATCATGCATTTTATCTGGGAGTGGGAAATCCGGGCCTTTCGGAAACGGTTTATTATTTGAACAAATATAACAATCTTCTTCTTCATAATGCCAAACACCATCGTGAGATGAACTCATTCCAATTTTTTCAATGTTGAGGATGCATGCTAGGTGCATTTTAAGGTCCAAAATCAATGTCCGGAACAAGTGTCCGAAATAACCATTCTGGAAAGTGGCTCCGGAATGGGGTTTCAGAATAAGGGTCTGAAATACTATCAGAAATCTATGACATTTACTATTCGGAATGACTACACATACTGTCAGGAATCTATGACTTTTACTGTTGGGAAATGACTACACATGTCAGGAATCTATGACAATTACGTACAAAAGCAATGTCCGGAAAAGTCGGTCCAGAACGTGGCTCCGGAATGAGGGTCCGAAATACTGTCAAGAATCTATGACATTTACTGTTCAGAATGACTACACATATGTCAGGAATCTATGACTTTTACTATTCGGAATGACTACACATGTGTCGGGAATCAATGAAAAATTACTGTTCTGAATTTAGGGTCAGAAATAGCAATTCCGGAATGTGGCTCCGGAATGTGTTTCCGGAATAGTGTCAAGAATCATAACCGTAGTAAATGCCATTATATAAAGGAATTCAAGCATCCAAACTCTTTATCTTGTTAAATTTACTATAAAAATGCATTTCTCATAATCCAAAGAAATGACATACTGCGATTGTGGCTCTCAATGTATTATAAGGACATCAACTACTAGAAATAACCTTGGACGACTTTTTTATGCTTGTCCTAAAGAGGTATGTGGGTTATCATTTTATTATTTTTCGTTGAATTAATATT